TATTTTTCTCTTCAAATTTCATCAAGATACTGTAGCCTTCAGTGCTTACAGTTATCGTTCCTTAAAATACGTTTATTCTAATCTATTTAGGTCCATAACTGACTGAGAGTTGTAAATTTGGCTTAAAACCTTGGCTTTGATTTAGCTTTTTCTAGAAGATATAAGAAATTAAGCAAAAATAATTGGCTTAGCTTAGGCTTCGCTTAGGCTTGGCTTAGGATAGGCTTAGGCTTGACTTAGGCTTGACTTAGGCTTGACTTAGGCTTGACTTAGGCTTGGCTTAGGCTTGGTTTTGAAAATCAGCCCTAAGAGCAGCCCAGGTCTACCTTGCTAAAAGTATTGTAATCTAAAGGGAAATGTATCCTCGTTTATAACTGAATGCTTACATATTTCCGGACTGAGACTTTCCGGATTGGGGAATTCTTCAGTCATCAAAAAACAAGCACTCACTAAGAGTAAGAAAACCAGAAACAATTATGAATCCTAGACTCAATTGTCTCAGCTTTAGCCTTATATAAGTTCGAAACTTGAGAGATTTTGTCACTTGCAAATCTGACAAATCATTTCTGGCACAAAGCTGGACATTTTAAGTGTTTAACTTGACTGTTTAATTCATTTGATCTGGCCTTTGAGTAGTCAAATTTAGCGATTATCTTTTGCAAGCTAAAGAAATAAAAAGGATTGAATTGAGATATAAATTACAAATCAAATTCATTAAAAAATGAGCCCTGTTCTCGAGTAAAAATGGGAATAAACGTATGAACTTTTGATTTTGCAGAGACATTTAATAAGAAAAGCTTTAAATGGGCGTATTAACAAGAGGAAATCACTCATAGGATTATCATAATCGTGGGTTTGGTGAAGGATAGACTACAACTGAAATCAGCTAGGTAATAGAAGAATAAGATAGCATTACAGTAACCTTGTGTTAGTTCTAAAATAGGCTACGATTGCTTGGGTCTTTTGCTTCAGAAATTTGGGTAAACAGTTAAGGAGGAGTAAGGGAGGTTAAGTGCGTTGCACATCGGCGCGAAAATGCGTTTTCTATCGGATTTTTCTGGGAGTACCTTTTTTAGATGTGGAAAACTGTGCTGATTCCGAATCTGAAGGAATTTTTCAAATCCCTCTGACAGAAATTTTTTAAATTTAGTTTTAGCGGTTTTTTTGATCATTTTGTATGGGAAATTTTGTGGTACCCTGCAGTTTGGGGCTCGTAACTCGACAAAGAGGGTCTAGAACCAAAAACGAAGGGATAAGTTTTGTTCTAGAGACTCTTACGAACATTTTGATGCAAAAATCATCAAATTTTCTCAACTCTACAAAAAGTTATAACATCTTTAAAGAAATTTTGCAAAATACACTAAAAACAGACGATTTTCCAGGCCAGGTCAGGCCAAAGCCAGGCCAGACCAGGCCAAGGGCAGCCAGATGGCGTGGCCTTGGCCTGGCCTGGCTTTGGCCTGACCCGGCGTGGAAAATCGTCTCTTCGTCCAGCCCTGCTCAATACACTAAGAGCATCAAAGAAATTGGTAAATTTGATCGTAAACTATGAATGAACTAATAAGTTCTTTGTCAGCTAGCTTTTGAAAGTGAATTTCCTTGGCGGAACTAAAGAAAAAGGGAATTTTATTTACCGAGGAAATGCTCAAAGATTAAGTGCTCCCGAATGGGAAATCGGTACAAATTGATAGAAAAATTACTTAAAAATAGTCAAGAAACTTTGTAGCAAGTCTTATAAAGTCAAAAATCTAATTTAGATGTTTAAAAACACAAAACGAAGAGGAAAATAGCTACAACACAAAGCAAACAGTCAATAGAAAGCAAAAGCGGAACATACGTGACTTGGTGGAAAAATCGAGCTGTTGGAGTCGACCCAGAAAAGAGATTGAAATGGAACTTGAACGTTTTTGAGAAGAAAGAAAAGGAGCCAGTTTCCTTTTGGCAAGCTAGATTGAAAATTCTTCTCTTTAAAAGTTTGGTTTTGTTTAAATTGTCAATCAATTATCATCCATTAAATATATAACCTTTTTGCAACCGGAAATTTTGATTAGGCATTTTTCATCTCATCTTTTCATTACTATGCCGGAAATGGCCATTCATTTGGATGTTTGATTACTTTGGAGATCTCATTGGATTTAAATATTCAGGAAGAATGTTTTGATAGAACTTTTGCATTAATATGTATTTGATGGAGGATTGTTGGCTTTATAAAGGACAATTCAGCAAGCCAGCAACGATTTTGATTCGAGGTTTGATGAAGTATCAGCTTGCGATTAAAGAAACTTCATCTTGAGATTAGCCTTTCTTCTTCTTTAGGTCACATTCTTCGAACAATTCATTCATCAGCCTCTTGTAAGAACTTCAGAAAGTTTCAGAAACTTTAGAAACTTCAGAAAGTAAAACTTTATGAACAAAAACATCCAAAAGACATCTAAAGACATCTCATCGAAAATTTTAACACATTTTTACCCCTTGTGCTGGACTAATTCTTAGGTTCATTTGATATGGCTTCTTTACTCTTTTTAGAAACAACTAATGCTTCAATTAACTTACAATTTTTACCAATTAAAAGCTCAATTGATCTTCTAAAAACAGCTTTTAACGAATTTGGAAATCCTTCCATTTTGTGGTTTTTTCGAGAGCAAGAAGTTGAGGGACCAAAAACGGAAAAGGACTAATGATACAATTTGAGCACTTTCAGCCAAAGAAACCTCTTTTGATTTGATAAGACAAAAGATAGAGCACAAAAAGTTACGATTGTAACCAAAATTTCAATTTAATTTGTCAATTTGTTTTTCTTTTTTTGACCATTTAACGAATTTTCGAAAAGAAAACACGAATTTCGGCTCAAATTCCTTAAAACGCATTCAAATTTGTTTAAAAAGATGTAAAATGAAACAATAAACAACTTTTATTTTATGAAAACCGTAACTAAATTAACCCTTGAATTATTTCTACTAAGAAAAATGGAAATGTCATATCAACGCTTGGTTGGAAGGTAAGTTCTGTCCGTTTTGTCCGGGAGAGGTTCTTAAACCTAACCAATCTACACCTGTTATAGCTCATTTGAAAGCTGAATTCAAGACGGAAAAATAGGAAAAACCTTTTCATTTCAATTCATACAGTTTTCAAGTTTTTGCAGGCGCTTTAGTGAGCTCAATGCCGAAATTGCGTTTCGATAGTTTTTTGTTTGGCAACATAGGCTAAAAACACGTTATTCCTACTCAGCGCATTAAATTACCCTTAGAAACTAATTTTTGAGATTCTTGCGAAAAAAAGTCAAAATTTTTGTCGCCGGCCGGAATTGAACCCTTGAGCTTTTGGATCGGAATCGACCTGAAGCAACCGTTGTGCCGTTTTTTTGCCTCTTTTTATTGCTTTCTTTCTTTTGCTGTACTATTTTACCTAAAAAAATAATAATAAACAAAAATCAATTAAAAAACGAGAAAACGGCACAACGGTTGCTTCAGGCCGATTCCGGTCCAAAAGCTCAAGGGTTCAATTCCGGCCCGCAACAAAAATTTTGACTTTTTTTCGCAAAAATCTCAAAAATTAGTTTCTAAGGGTAATTTAATGCGCTGAGTACGAATAACGTGTTTTTAGCGTATGTTGTCAAACAAAAAAACTATCGAAACGAAATTTCGGCACTGAGCTCACTAAAGCGCCTGTAAAAACTTTAAAACTGTATGAATTGAAAAAAGGTTTTTCCTATTTTTTTCCGTCTTGAATTCAGCTTTCAAATGAGCTATAACAGGTGTAGATTGGTTAGGTTTAAGAACCTCTCCCGGACAAAACGGACAGAACTTACCTTCCAACCCAATAATATAAGACGCGATTTAGGCTTTAAGCTTTGTCAAAGTCAAGGAGTTGCATGGTCAGATTCAAATCAAATCAAACTAGGATTTAAAGATTATGAATTCAAAGTGTTACAGTATCCTACAAAAGCCAAAAGAAAACAAAAGCCAAAAGATCAACTCCTCAAAAAAAACTAGCTCAAAATGTTTGACCCTGTTACCGGAGTGAATCGTTTTTTTCTGTGAAGAGCACACAAAGGCTATTCTCAAAGCGGAAAAAGGAAAAGAATGACTGTCAGAATGCACTCAGCTCCTTTTTCACAATGTTCTTTTCAGTTTTTCGAGAACTTTTTCCATTTCTATACATGGTTTGTGATCATCGTGTGAGAATGGGGACAGTTCCCACTTTTTTACAACCACTTCACACGAGCGCTAAAAGAATTTCTTTCGAATCGGGAAAAGGATAACGTTTTGTGCTCATCTTGGTCATTTTCTCTGACTTTTAGAGTCTACGAATAGAAATCCGTTGAACAAATGTGATCGCTGAGCGTTTTTTGGGCAAATAATGGGTGCGGAAAGGTTTAGCGAATAGGAAAAGTCCTTTAAATCGATGAGAACACTAGTTTTTATTGATTACTCGGCTGATTTTATTGATTACCCTGAGTTGCTTGGATCAAATTTGGTTTCTGACAATTTTTCTAATGGCTAAGACTCAAAATGTCATTGGTAACAAGGTACTTGTGGCTAAAATTCCTCAAGAATCGGCGACCCTTTGTGGCTGAGTGGCTAAGAGTCTAGATTGTTGGCCAGAAAGCGCGGGTTCAATCCCCACCGATGATGATTGTGTCATGCTAATCATGAAGGGACACCGTCGTTCCATTCCATGTTGTACAAAGACGAATCTGAGGTTTGAAATTGATTATATTTTGATGGAATTGGTTGGAAAAGAGATAATTTGATGGAATTGGTTGGAAAAGAGATAAAATACTGTTCATAATTCAGGAATTTGTGACCGAATGGCTAAGCGTCTCGATTGCTGGCCAATCCTCACCGATGATGATTTTGTCATGCTAATCATGAAGGGACACCGTCGTTCCATTCCATGTTGTACAAAGACCGATCTGAGGTTTGAAATTAATCACATTTTGATGGAATTGGTTGGGAAAGAGATAAAATACTGTTCATAATTCAGGAATTTGTGACCGAATGGCTAGGAGCCTAAATTGCTGGCCAGAAAGGGCGGGTACCCGGAGGAAAGCTTTCACAGGTTTCGAAGTTTCAATATTTTAGTTAAGTTGTAGATAGCAGTAGCCATAAAGGCCGATCTGAGGTTCAAAATGAATCATATTTTGATGGAATTGGTTGAAAAAGAGATAAAATACTGTTTATAGTTCAGTAATTTGTGGCTGAATAGCTAAGAGTCTCGATTGCTGGCCAGAAAGCGTGGGTTCAATATCAATAATGATTTTGTCATGCTAATCATGAAGGAACACCGTCGTTCCATTCCATGTTGTACAAAGACCGATCTGAGGTTCGAAATGAATCATATTTTGATGGAATTGGTTGGGAAATCTCTTTGGAAAGAAAATTCTGCTCATAATTCAGTAATTTTGTTTAGAAATGGTTAAAGAAGTGATTTTCCAAGCTGTTCTTAGATTTTTACACAATTCAATATAACTTTTCGTACAAGCTCTGGTTCAGAAAGCTGACAAAACTCAAAACTCTTTGTTCTTTTATTTGCTCTAAAGTTTATGACCAGTCGTAAAATAAGAATTGATCAAAATCCACTCGTTTCCATAATTTCCAATATTTCTAACTCCAATCTAACTCCAATCTAACTCCAATTTCTACCTTCTAATTTCAAATTAAGTCCCCAAATTGTTGGAGTTAAATGTTTTGCATTCTTTTCTCTGTTTCATCTTTTCTTTTTTTCATTGGGTGCAAGGCGTGTTCCTCTCGAGAACGTAAGCAATTCAAAGACTTGAGTGTTTGTAATGTTTGAGGTCAGCTTGACACTAGCCACTTTTCACATCAAATCTTCAAAAGCTTTCAGATCAAATTAAATTAAAGAGCTTTGATGTTTCAGATCTTTAAAAATTAGCTAAAACCCAAGTTCTGTCTGCCCAGTAAGTGTAAATGACAAAAAACAAACGTTTTTTTGCTTTAAAATCACAAATAAACGACTCAGTTTTGCAAGTCTTTTGAAGTTATGAGTTGAAAGTTGAGTAATAAAAATGATTTGTTTTGATTGTTTAATAAAATTACTTGATTAGCCTTGATTTAATTGTAAGTTTAGGCTAGATTTGACTAGATTTGACTAGATTTGGCTCGGTTTGATTAAAGTCACAATAACTTTTCAGCTCTTCACCTTGACTTCAGCCGTGATGAGCCCAATTCTATTATCGACGTTGATACAAATCTCTTAAACAAATCTTTCTACAGCTCTTTTTGGGTAAATCTACTGTATGAACACTTTTTTACAAGTCATTTCAGACTCTAAAGCTTGTCTGTTCTCCACCGGCCGAATGGACTTTTTGTGATATTGATTGTGGCTCCGGTGATCAAGCAATTGATGAAGCAAATGCAAGAGAGAACGCTAGAGATGACATTTTTGAAGCGGTGAAAATGATCTTGCTTGGCAAATGAGCCTTATTAAACATTTTTTCAAGTTTGCTGTTAGCATTGCTTTTGAATGTTGTTAATGCCATAGTTGTTTCGGAGTTTTAAACTTAAAGAGCGTTGCAATAAGAAAACGTCGACTCGGGTGGTTATCGGACATCGGATAAGCCCTGCCCCTTTTGCCATTGGCAATCCAACTTTGACCTCAAATATCTTGGTGTTGGGCTGTTTAATTTACATGCTCTTGGTAGCATTGTATGCGCCAAGTCTTTCTCTATTGATTGGTACAAAAACTATTTAAATCTGACGGTCCAACACCAAGATATTTGAGCTTAAAGTTAAATTACCAATGGCAAAGGGGGCGTATAAAAGGTTATCCGTTAAGCCCCGCCCCTTTTGCCATTGGCAATCTGACTTTGAGCTCAAATATCTTGGTGTTGAGCTGTCCAATTTGAATAGTTTTCGTACCAATCGACAGAGAAAGACTTGGCTCTTCCAATGATCTCAAAAATATACAAATTGAACAGCCCAACACCAAGATATTTGAGCTCAAAGTTGGATTGCCAATGGCAAAAGGGGCGGGGCGCTTATCAGATGTTGCACAATCACTCGGGTTGTCGCTTTAAAGTCTGACTCGAATACCGTGACACGTAATCCAATTTTATAGATGTTACCAAGGTCGCAAAGTTGGCTGTAATATTCAAAGATGAAAATCTAGGCCTACAATTAGTTACGGTAGCTAGGGCAGTACCGCTTAACGGGAAAAAGCCAACAAATCCTCTTTTAGCTCACCGAATCCTACAACACACTCGGTCTGGCTCCACCTTCCATTCAACTCATTTATCATCCCAAATCAATCAACATTAATCGAGGGAATCATCCCCCGAATGGACCAATTCTTTACATTCCTCGTCTCATCAATGGAACTCTTTCAAGAATGAATTATGAAGTCGAGGTGCATTTAGATTAAATAAGAATTTAGAAAAGAATTTCTTGACTTTCATTAAATGGGAAACGTTTTTGAGCACAAATCCCACTAATCCTCAAACTCACACAAATCCTCTCGACGGCAGAATGACAGTACCCGGGGGAAAGCTTTCACAAGTTTTGAACAATCGATAAGTTGAGGGATGAGTAAAAAATAATTCAATTTTTCAGTTGAGTTGTAGATAACAGTAGCCATTAATAGATGAAGATAGTACTGTAGAGTAGAGTTCGGAAAACAAAACTTAACCAAAACCAAAACCACCAAAACCAAAACCATAACAAAACCAAAACCAAAACAAACCAAAACCAAAACCAAAACTAACCAAAACTCGCCAATATATCGCGACTGGGAGGAGCTAGCGAAAATCTGTTTGCAGATTTGAAATCAGCATCCAAAAATCGATCCCATAGGCTATTTTTTGTTTCGAAATTTCGAGGTCGTGTTTTGGTCCTTTTTTCGGCCGCGAGATTTTGTGGAGTGAGAAAAAGTGAAAGGCAAATTTGCATTTTACATTAAAATTTGCATTTACATTAAAATTTGCATTTTACAATTGCAAATTGAGTTTTGGTTTGTTTTGGTGTTTTGGTTTTGGTTTTGGTTTTGGTTGTTTTGGTTTTGGTTTTGGTCTGTTTTGGTTTTGGTTTTGTTTTCCGAACTCTACTGTAGAGTAATGTCTCTTTATACCGCAACGTTTAAAGCACCTTTAAAACTAAACAAATATCAAGTTTTAAAATAAAGGATGATTTATTTTGATAAGTAAGCAAGAAATTAATGTCTTTTAATGCAGATTGAAGAGTTTGATAAGTTTTTTAAATGAAATTTAAATGTAATTTAAATGTAAATTTCAATCTAGAGCCTTCACAGTAACCATTCAAAGTACTCGATCTTTTGAAGTCAAAAATGTCAAACTTTTTGTGAATCTGGTAAATCTTATTGCTAAAAAAACAAAGATTTAGATTAAAATAGAACCTATATTGATGTAATTGAAAAATTTAGTTTAGAGGATTTTTAAAATTTAGATTTAAATCATACAGTAAATCCACAGAGAAAAAAGTGAAAAATCTCAAAGTTTTGATGAAATAGATAGGTCTAATTAACAAAATTAATCAATTTAGATAAAGTTTATAAAAGAATTGAAGAAATTGAAAGGTTTGTCTTAGAGGTTTTCTTTCAAATTTACTGTTAAATAAAGAGTGGCCCAGATACAGCAATCTTACAGCACTCAATTGCTGAAAACTCAAACTTTTGATGAAATAGATAGGTCTAATTAACAAAATCAATCAATTTAGATAAAGTTTATAAAAGAATTGAAGAAATTTAATGATTTGGCTTAGAGATTTTCTTTCAAATTTACTGTTGAATTAGCTAAAAAAGCCCGATTTTTTATCATTTTTCAATCATTTATTTCTAATTACTGGTTAATGCTAAAGATATGTTTTATATCTCAAAAAATCACCCATTTTCTCTACTTTAATTTGATACCTAAGCGAGCAAAAACAAACGTACTGGTGTCAAGATCTGAATGTTTATTTGAGAGTAAACTTAGACCACCCGGCACTCCGACGGGGGTCGTTCTACGAGTTTTTACGGTAATTCGGATAAAAGCTAGAGACAGAATTATGGTAGTTACGCATTCTCTCTACTTTAATTTGATACCTAAGCGAGCAGAAACAAACGTACTGGTGTCAAGATCTGAGTGTTTATTTGAGAGTGAACTTAGACTACGCGATGTTTCTATAGGGGCTCTTCTATTAGAGGATTTATGGTATTCTGTAGAAACTAACGTTCTTTATAATGTAACAAATCCCCCTGAAAGATCAAAGACGTCATTTATCATCAAAGATAAACATGATCATAAAATCAAAAGCTCATAAGGCCTGCTGCAAAAGAAGATGACTCTATTTACTGAAAAATCTTGTAGCGATCAGCTCTCAAAAGCCAAGAAAAGACAGAAAATGACACAGAAATCACAAAACTCTCTTTCAGATCACCATCAATGTTTTCCCGCCACTCGCCGACTTTCATAAAAAACAATTGGCCAACTTTATGCTTCACAATTTGTCTTTGAAACGAAAAGCGAAATTTCGAGAACGGATTTCATTCTATTAGATTCAATTTCTTAAGCTCATTTGTTCTTGAGTTGTTTTTTATGCTTTAAAATGCAAAAATACCCCTTCAGGCATTCTGAAATTCAACTTTTTTCTATTGTCGCAACAGTGCAAACTTTCAGCATAATAGTGAAATTTGAAGCTTGATTTGCTAGATCTCAAATGTTTACGAGATTTTCCATGATCAGCTTTTCAATCTTTCTCCGCTTTCTTTTTAATTTGGGTTTTGTTTTGGTAAACAATTTTGAAGCTTAAAGCTTAAAAGGGCTGGATTTGGTTTTTATTTTTTTTCCGAGTCAATTAACTATTTTTATTTGCACTTTGAAAATCTGTTTTGAATATTTGAAAAATATAGATAGTTATTCTTGGTTTGTTTTGACAAAAAGGAGAAATTTGGACTTAGCGAAACGAGGAATTTGGACATTAAAGAATTCATTTAGTCTACGCAAAGTTTAATTTAATATTGTTTATCTTGTTGGAGTTGATTTGTCAATAGTCTAACTTGTAAAAACGTGGTTATGAGATTTTTATCAAAAAAACTCATAAGAAAGCTCAAAAGTTTGTCTCTTGTCACAGTAAGTGATGTTTCTAGACAAAACCCAGGCCAGCAAGGCTGGCTGGCGGCGGAAATAAAATAGCAAGTCCTTTACGAAACAACGTAGAACCGACGCCGTTACGAACGAACCGTCATAAACGACGTCCAGAGACGACCGACGCCGTTCACGAACTAAACCCAGTCGTCAACGGACGTCCAGACGGACAACCGAACGCCGTTACGAGCAAACAAAGCTAAGAGTTAACGAACGTACCCGAACTGAACAGCGCAGTCCCGAACATGACTCCAGATATAAGCGCCAATTTTCTAGGCTTTGGCTCCGCACCTTGGAGACTTGATTCTTCTAGGCTAATGCTTGGTTCTCCCATCTCTGGCCTCTACCCCTAAGGACGATCTCCAGACGTGTTCGGATTCGGACGTAACAGTTCTATTAACACCAAATTAGCATTTAAGTTTAATTCGTAAATGGACGTCTGAAAAACGAGGAATTTAGACATTAAAGAATTAATTTAGTCTTTAGCTTAGTTTAATATTGTTATCCTTGTTGGAGTTGATTTGTTGATAGCTTCACTTGTAAAAACGTTCTTATGAGATTTTTTTTATCAAAAAACTCATAAGAAAGCTCAAAAGTTTGTCTCTTGTCACAGTAAGTGATTCTAAACGAAATTTTCTGACCAGGAATGGTCAAAGCTTGGTTTTGGTTTGACTGGTTATGGCTAATCATGAATTTTAGTTTTTAGGAACACAGCTAAACACAAGCATCATAAACATCTTTCAAATGCTACATTTTGTTGTCTTTTTCGTACAAATCGCTCTTGTTACCGTACTCACGGTTATCTATTTTGTGGATAAAATTTTAACGTGAAAAACTTTGCAAAACATTTACTGGACAATTAGTCGCGTATCGCACGTTTTTGCGCATTTTCGTTTTCGTTAGTCGCGTTATTTTAGTAGAGTAAGTAGACCAAATCGTTAACATTTATTGTTGTTTCTTTTTGTTTGTGTTAGTTTTATTGCCCATTATCCGTTGTTGTCCATGGGCCGGTAGGTACCTACCGAATCTCGTTTTAAAGAAATTTTCCAAAACCTCTACAGTTATCTGGTTAGTTTAAGGTGTCTCTGGGTGTAGTTGAGCAACTTTTTGCGAAAAATTAGATTATGTTTTAAGCAAGATAAAGCTCGTAGAGTTTTAGCGAGCAAACATAAGTTTAATTTTGTCGATTGAAGGAATTTAAACGTTCTAGGTTGATACTGTAGTAGCCAGATTAAAATTTTCGTGCCTTGGAACAAGTTGAACTCCCACGTTCACTTAAAAACAAAATCCTGGCATTGGAATGCTTTCACACCAAAGCATGCAAAGACGGTGACTTAGAAAATCTCTTGACTTTTGGGTGTTTCGTACTTTCTCAGGAATCTCAAAACCGTTTCTCGATGTTCATTGTGGTTTGAGAATTGAGAATTGAGAGAGAAAAGAAGGGGCAACTTCATGGATCGATTCATAGAACACGAGAAGAAAGGGAAAAGGATTGGGTTGAGAAGAGGATAAGAGAAAAAAGAGGACTTGATTTACAACTCGCATGTTGCTGTGGAAAAGATTCATGGAAACTTTTTATGGCCTATCATTTTTGAAACTCTATCTCAGTGGTGAACGAAAAGCTATACATTTTCAGCTAGTGCGTTCTTTATCAGCAAAAAATTTAAAAGCTCTTCTCGCTCTCCACTCGCTTCACGATTTGTATAGTGAAAGGAGAAACGAAAAGAAAGAGGGAATTGGCGAGCAGAAAGAAAATATGCTGATAAATGGAAACTTTATGGTTCATCATTTTTGAAACTCTGTCTCTGTGGTGAACGAAAAGCTATGGCTAATGAAGAAAAGAAAAAGGAATGGGATAAACGAGGAAAGGTTTGTGAGAACCAAGTTACTAAACTGATTAATTTCAGCTGATCATGGGCTGGGTTGAGCCGAATGTGAACGCGCTAAAAGAAGGAGAAGGGAAAAAACACTTTGATAAATAGAGAAGGACTTTGTTACTGATGTCACGACGAAACTCTCCAGTTTCGACTATCATCAAAAGAGTTTCATCAGACTTGTGAATAACCCTGGTCTTTATCGAATGGCATTCTATAATGTAAACGGTTTCAACGAGAAGAACATTCCGACTATTTACCGAATGCTCACGTCACTTGATCTTGATGTGTTGTTCTTAATCGAGACAAAAGTCACAGAAGAAATTTTAAGTGGGGAAGAGTTTCAGGTCAGATTGTTTATTTGAATAAACTATTAAACAATCTTTAGAATAATTCATCTTTCAAGAACATAGACAAAAAATATGAAAGATACATTTGTGCTGCTCGTTCAGCAAGAAGTGGTGGCTTGATGATTCTGATCAAGAAAGAGCTCTTTAAAGCTGGTCTCGAAGAAGAAAAGCTAAACTTTATCGCAAAACCTGGCAAAAGCGGCGAAACCTATCATGAGTCTTGTGGAATTACCCTGTTTGGCGTGAAATATATCATGGTCTATCGAAATAATTCCACGGCGCACGGGCTTGCCTTGGTAGAGGATGTGTTGAAATTGATAGATCCTGATAGAGATTTTCCAAGTAAAGATACGTCGCCAGAAACTGCAAGCGAAGAGGAAGAAGAAAAAAATCTTGAAAAAGAAAAAAAGTTGGAGGAAGAACCAGACGCTCGTAAAGATGATGATAAAGATGATGGTAAAGAGGAGGATACGAAATTTGTTATCCTAGGAGATTTCAACACCTCAAACATTCGATGGGCAAATAAGATGGAATCGTTTGCCTTTGTAAGCACAGACCGAAGTCGGGCATCGGAAAAAATGATCAATGCCCTGGTGAACGGGACCGGCTGCAACATACAATATGTGAAGGCCCCAACTTCCGGGCGATCGATGAGACCAATAGATTTGCTATTTGCAAAACGTGGGCAAGGCATCGTCAATTTTGTGTATGTTCCTCCGTTTCTGGACAAGCAACTCGTACGAGATCACGTGCCTGTCTACTTCCTAGTCAACAAGGTAAGACATTGAACTTTGCATAACACAAATGTTGTGCGTTATGTCAATTACCTGAACAATTTGATTGAAATCAGAAAAGCCATAACCATCGGCAGAGTTTAGTTCTGGATCGGACGTGGGGGTAAATGTAGAAAAAAACTACAATTTTTACCTTAACTTGTCTAGTCAATTTTCAGTTTGTGAGTCCTCGGAAGGCCGCAGCGCCGACTCTTGAGAAAAAAGTGGAGAAATTAGACCTGGAAAAGAACGTTTCTCGAAAAAGCGGATCAGGAAAGAACGGAAAAGCGAAAAAGAAATGACCAGTTTATGCTGAAATGGCACTTTGGCTTCTTATTTTCTTCAGAGACTAGCTATTCTTCATTTGAATCTTTATAAATTTTCGAAAAGGTGATTCGATTGGAAACGTACATGCAATTCAGGTTGAACACTTTATTTACTCAATTAAATGGGCGAAAATTTTGATCAGAACAAGAGCCAACAAAAACGGCGGAAACAATACAAAGGATTTGATTCTGACAACCGATTTCAATTTTAATTTTGAAGTCCAATTGATGACTATCCCTTACAAACACCGCAGGACACCAGACATAGTACACAAAATATACAATGATATCACCGAAAAATAGAACGCGCTATGGGCCTGAATCACTGGGCACTTAATTCACAAGTTCCACCTAATTTTGCCTTATAAAAGAAAACCTCAGTCGGGAATTTTATTCAGAAAAGTTGAGGCAAAGAAACGAGAGATCGAAAATAATAGCGATACACTACTATTGGGTTGATGAATTGAAAACTGCCGGACTTTGAACTAAAATTTATTGAACACAAACCACAATTCATTAATTAAAATAACCATATTATTGACGACTCTGCCCATTTACAGGCAATTGGGACCCTTCGTAGTGGGATTTTGGTGTGTGGAGACAAGTGGAGACCAAAAATGGAGGACGGAGAGCCAGTGTCAGCCCAGTTTGAGCACCCAAAGAACCCATTTGGGCAAAGAAAGTGAGAGAACAAAATTAGGCTTATAGCCAAATTTCCAAAAAGGACACTAGTAGCGCAAAATGCAAGTTTGTGAAATTTGCAAACCATTTCTTGAAAACCAGTTTTGAACGTCTGAAAATTTGGATATAAGCGATTTTGATTCTCACAACTTTCCATTGACACCAAAAGGGTTCCTTGAAGAATCACAAACTGCGACATATGACAATACACAGTTCAACACCAACCCAATACTTAGAAGAACCCAAATGCCACCTTAGCCCCAAATTTTGGTGGTCAAATAGATTAAAACTAAAGTTCTCTGTAAAATCTAGTTGCTATGAACCATAGGCGACGAAAATATAACGCTTTTACCGTTAGCACCTCCATTTTGAAAGAAGAAATAAAGCAAAGTTTGTCTCAGAAATGCTACTTCAGCAAAAATTTTCGATGTCTAAATTCCAATTATGGGAAAAGTGGTGAAGTTCATGATGAAATGAGAGAACGAGAAATGAAGAGAATATGGTTTGTTGTCGTCTTCATGCATTCATTCGTATTCAATGTAGACGTTTATCTACATCCCACTTGCTCGATACTCCTTCACACGCCTCAACGCCTCTGCCTCAACGGAAGAGCCGCGTTTCTTTTTTGGTGACCCGACGATAGCAGTCTTTCTTTGAAACGTTTTCTCTGATTTTGTGTTTTTCGACCAGAGCATCCGTGTCTTCACAAATCGACGTTTTCTCTGATTTTGGTCTCAGCTTCGAACTTCATAGCAGCACTCCGTTGAGGGAAAAATGGACTCATTGACCAAGAACGAATAAATACGAGATAAATATTTATCGTGAAATCTGGATTTTCAGCTTTTCAGCTCCTCGATCGATTTCAAAAAGGCCGTCTTTGATTGCAGTGAGTTAATGCCCGGCGTCCCATCCCAAGATTCAATTCGCGAAGTTCCCTCGATCGAAGAAAGACATTTGGCGACTCAATACATTCTCTTCGTGCAGGGGCAGCAATTTCAACCATTGAACATCTGATCTGGACTCTCGATAAGTTGGATCGAATGCGGATCGGACCTTGGTCGGACCAGACTTGGAAAGAATTTTTGACTTCGAAAGAGGTGTTGGTGTTCTCAAGGAATTCGAGAAAGTGATAGACATCGTTCATCAACCCTACTTTTGCACAAATTTCAGATTACGGAAGCCTTTTGCAAGTTGGCTTTGTGATTTTCGCGAAAGCGTGCTTTTATTGGCAGAGAAAACGTCAAATGACGACACATCGAAATTCTCGGGAATAATCGTGACGGCGGTGCGCGGATGAACTTGTATTTCAGCTTTGATTGGCCTGCATGTACCTGATCTCGATTTCACTGAACTGCAGCAAAAGGTTATCGAGATGCTTCGGAAAAAGTCCATTCTTTAGAAAATATTCTCGATATTTGCGATTCGAATAATAGAGTTTCAAAGTTGATCCGAATTCGAATCTTCCAATGACCGATTCACCCAATTCTGTTGGAAGCGAACAAATTTGAATCGCTTCTTTCGGTGCTTTTGAGACGACTTGTTCTTTTAGATGTTTTCAGGAACGGGTCAACATCAACATATAGTGAAAATGGGAAATTTTAATGAGATCGAAGTCAATCGCAAAAAAGGGCTGGGAATAATTAACGGACTGAAGTCTGGTATTGACAACCAGACAGGCTATAAGCTACCAATTACGATCATTTTCCCATCTTATAAAGGAACTGTTTCAACTCGGAATCGATCTGGGGCATATGATCCATCTACAAAACGCCACCATGAAAAGTTAGGGGATACGTTTTTTTTTATTTTTACTTTTCTATATTTAAAATCTTTGTAGCATTTGAAGTTTTGGCGATTTTCGAAAAATCGGATCCGCGGGCTTAAAAAGGATTTCTCGCGACCTCAAGGGACTTTCAAGGGTACAAATAACAGGAAATTGTGATTGGTTAAGCCAAATTTTGTGCGATAAATTGTAATAGATTGAAATTTTTCATTCAAACACACATAAACTTGGGTTAAGACAAGAAAAGATAAGAACTTTTTAGTACAAGTCTAGATTACAATTCTCGTGCCAAGTTGAACTCTCTGAACTCTCTAAACGATCATGTTCACTTAAAAACAAAATCTTGGCATTGGAATGCTTTTCCACACCCAAAGCATTATTGAAAAACGTGTGACTTGCGAAAATCTCTTGACTTTCGCGTTTTGCGTACTTTCTCAGGACTCTCAATGTTCTCATTGAGAGATTTCTCAATGTTCACTGTGGTTTGAGAATTGAGAGAAAAAAGAAGGGGCAACTTGATGGGTGAATTCATAGAACATGAGAGGAAAGGGGAAAGGATTTGGTTGAGAAGAGAAGAGAAGGCGGAGGACTTGGTTGATCACTCACATGTTGTTGCAGAAAAGATTCATTTCTTTGAAAATCAATAGAATCTTGTAGAGTTTTGCTGGAACCGAAAGGTTACGTTTCAGTTGATTTTCAGTTAGAAATTTGATTTCAATCAATCAAGATATCAAGTTGATGAAACTTTTAGCTGTGTATGACTTTGAACTCGCTCTTTGAACTAAAAGTTCTGTGCTTTACCCCATTTTTCACTTTCTTCACCATAAATCTTTTGTATTTTATAGTTTAAAAAATTCAATGACTTTTAGAGCTCATTAGATCTTCTAATGATCTCTAAAAGGTCTTCTAATGATCATTAGATCTTCTAATGACTTCTAAAAGATCACTAGATCTTCTAATGATCATTGGATCATTAGAAAATCTCTAAAACATTGAAAATCAATGTTTTATTCAATCATTTGCTATATTTTAAAACAAATATTGTACTTGTAGTCAAAGCTATAGATAAAAAAAGCGAAACGAACTGTATGAATGCTTTAAGCCCCAATCAAACAATGATGTCAAACTTCTTACAGTCTACTTTTTCAGTCTTGATTCTAGAATTTATAGCTGTTCTTGTCTTGTCAATTGTCCTGTATTCTATCCAATCAAAGAATCTTCTTTTATCGGAACTTTAAGGTATAACACTTTTGAATAAACTCATTGTCAGCTTAGAGACTCATTAAAATGCCAATTTTTCTGGATCTTCATTGCTTTTAAAACTGGCAAATCCTCTAAAAACTGGCTTCTCTTGATCGAGCGGTGATTTTGAAAGAAAAGTGAAATCGACAATCATTCTTTTTCTTTCTGTTTCATTCTCTTTTTCCTCTCAATCATCTCCGACATCAATTCTTCTATCAATTTACACGAGAATTCAATTGCACAAATCGTAAAAATTGATTTTCGTTGGTAATCTGAACTCTTCAAAACTGGGATCAACACCGAGAATCGCTGGTGATTCCCCTCGATGGGGCAACGCTTTTCAAAAGATGAGGGATATGTTCAAGTAAGTTGATACCAAAGGAATATATTAAGATTTGATAATCTAAAATTTGTTATAAGAAAAAAGTACAGTCGATTCTCTCTATAACGGAATGGAAGGGACCAAAAAATTCTTATTTAGAGCTTTCCGTTTTATAGAGTGCCATTATATATAGCTTAGCGTCAGCCGGAAATCAAAATTCCATTCTGCTATATAGAGTTCCGTTATAGAGAGCTCCATTATAGAGCTCCGTTATAGAGAGCTCCATTATAGAGTTCCGTTATAGAGTTCCGTTATAGGGAGAGTCGACTGTAATTTACTTCGACTTAAGTTTATTGCAGCACAATTGTACTAAGATTGACAAAAGTACCTTGTAGACTTGTTTTTAGTTGACAAGAATTCAACTATTTGAAATCTAACTAGAGAAGAACTAGCCCATCCGATCGAAAATCGAGCGCGGAAGCCGAATCTGTAATTAAAATCTGCTGAATAGCTTGCAAACAAGAGATTTCTAACATCAAAGTTTTTGCTATACACTAAGTTTACGCTTTCTCTTTCAACGGCGGTCTAGCTGGTAGTGTGCTTGTCTACAGAACGAATCGATTCTTTTGAATCCCCCACTTGACAACGGATGGGCTAAGTCTTTTTTTGAAATCCAACCGTAACCTGGTACTTTGCCCTAGTAAGAGTTTAAACCCGACCAATGCTGCAATCAAGAATCAATCAAAATTTAGGTAGTCATTCTTGGACTAGAGCACGCTGGCAAGTCTTCAATCCTTTATCGTCTCACCTATGATCTTTTCATGGAAGCAATTCCAACTAGTGGATTTAATCATGAAAAGGTTCTTTAAATTTTAAAATACAAAACAATTCGATTCAGTTCTGTCTTCAGCGAGGACCGGGACGAGGCTGTAAATTTGCGGTTTGGGATGCGAGTGGTAGTGAAGCTTCACAGTCAGTTTAAAGTCTTTAGATAGCAATTTAACATCTCAAAATTCATTATTAACATACAGTAGAATGTCCAGGTATTGGAAACGTAGAAATTTATGCAAAAACCTACTTGCAGCACTATCAAAAATCTTTCAGAACAGCTTGGAGCACCTATTCGAAAGCTGCAGACGTCATCTTGTTTGTTGTCGATTCGGCTGATTGCGAGAAGTTCAACAAAGCAAAGGATCTACTGAATACCGTTTTAGGGTAAGGTTTGGTGTATGATTAACTTTCAAAATAGAGTTGAAAAGCTTTTCAGCTTGATTAAACTGCTGCTTCCTAACAAAATGTGATTAGAAAGGCTAAAAATTAGAGAAAAATCCGATGATATCCTTTTTGAAAAGACATTATCGTTTTTTTTCTTGGTTTGATGTTATTTATCAAAAAAAAAACATAAGAAATCTGTAATATTTTAAGAAAAAAACGCCACTTAAAAACCTTAAATTGGGTTTTTCGCCAAAGGTACCGCGATTCTCAACTTTGTAAGGTCATATAAAGATTCTAGAATCACCAATGAGTTAGGAAATTGGCTTCTTGGCTACAGGAGAAATACTCAAAAATCACCTCCAAAAATTTCACACAGATTCATTGAGTTCTCTCTGAGCTAGATCTTCAGAAGTGAGTCGCTATAATTCACGGTCACCGTGTAGCCTCTTTGCAACATAGAAGTAGTACCTAGAAGATTAAGATCAAATAGAAACATAGCGAAATAAATCTAAACTCAAGATTTAACATCAAAAAATGTATTAGCAAGAAGGATTTCTGGATTTTAAATAGTTTATCATTTCAGAGCCGGCGATTTCCCACCACATGCAGTGATCATGGTGCTTGCAAATAAGCAAGATCTCACTTCAGCGAAAAAGCCCGAAGAGTTGTTTACGGCCAGTTTTAAAAGATTAAGTTATCATCAAAAAACAAAACAAGATCCTAATGAAATTTTTGATTTTTAGCTTCTTCGACTAAAAAAGCTACGTAAAATCTGCATTCGTGGTTGCTCGGCGAAAGACGGCACGGGTTTAGACGATATCTTCACACATTTATTTCTACTTTTCGATCATTCAAGGTTTGTGCAAAGTGGGTTAACAATAAAATTGTTTAAAAACTTTGGAAAACATTTGAACTCTATGTAGAAATTATCTAGAATTAAAGAATTAAACTCTTTCAGAAAATTGAAACGATGCAAGACCGTGCAAGTGATCGAATGACGTTTCTTAACGGGAATTTTTTGAAGCGAATCTCATTGTAACGGGTGAATTTGTGATATTTTAGTTTACGAATAAATTTTTATTCATTTTATTGGAATTCAATTCCTATTCTTCATCCTCATCATCAAGTCTTCGAGATTGCGATTGCAAGAGTTGTTGCTCAAGTTCGGTGGGAGAAATTCCCTGAAAGTTGTGTCGTTTTTAGATCAGTTACAGATCAGATTAATTTCTTGTCTTACTGTGGCGATTTAGAACTTAATACCGGCAAACTAGCTACCATTTAGAATCGAAATTTGTCTACTTTCTTTGTCACAATATGCTGGTAAAGTATAATAGCCTAAATTGACTTAGATCTTGGCTTTATACTTACCAATAATTTTGTAATCATTTCTGAGCTTACCCGAAGCTAAATATAATACCCTAAATCTTCTATTAGACCAGCATGCCGCTTTTTCGATACCACTTGCGTGTGCCACTTTACAGGGTGTCTCAAAATTACCCGGACGCACGCTTAATTTATTTCAAAATTTCAAGTGTTATGTAGGGGATTGTAGCCCTCAATCTTGGCTACATTTACCTTCTAAAAACTTTCCAATCGGATTTATTCAATTCATTTTACAAGTCCTTGAATACTAGTCGATTCCCTACCCGACGCGCTGACATTTTTGACGATTTTCTACATAAAAAGTTGTTCGAAAAAGTTTTTGTCAATAATGATTTTATGCAAAAAATATCATTTAACATCATTAATAATATTAAAGATAACTTTGAAGTGTTTTGGCTAACCAAAATCAAGCTGGTGACTAACACTTTGAAGACGCAGAGTAAAAGGTGAAATTTGATCATTTTTCGATATTTAGTTCACATGAGTATCTCGTTATATTAGCTTTTAGAGCGCTATGAAATTGTTGGAAATAATTTTTTATACAAAATGCACACAAACTTTAGGATAGATTCCTTTTTAGAAAATTTTTAGGTAGAAAATCGTCAAAAATGTCAGCGCGTCGGATCGGGATCGACTAGTATTCAAGGACTTGTAAAATGAATTGCATAAATCCGATTGGAAAGTTTTTAGAAGATAAATGTAGCCAAGATTGAGGGCTACAATCCTCTACATAACACTTGAAATTTTGAAATAAATTAAGCGTGTGACTACTTTTCCAAAAAGTTGTTCTGATAATTTTGAGGCACCCTGTAATAGAGGGTGCCGGTCAAATGTTCGAAACCATCTAATCAATAAACCCTAATGATGCATCAAAATCAAGGTTGCATTCATCATTTTCGGTGTTTTCGATGGTGGCAGTAGATTCGTCTGTTGAAAATCTGCTGTTGTTGCTGTTGTTGTTGTTGTTGTTGTTGTCTGTTGTTGAAAATTTCAAATAAACAATGTGCAACGCAATTTTGAATGAGAATTTGTTGTCAAAAGAAGAAAGAGACACAAGACTTGTTGCTTTTTTAATGGATAATAAGTCTTTATTCCAATAAACGCTAATACTTAGCGTTACTTCATGACCTTTTCTTTACATAAAGCTGAACAATTGGTAGAAGCATAATTCGAAACAAGAAAAGGGCCTTGGCCAGAAAACCCCCTTATCATGATTTTATGTTTTTTTTTTATGTGTGAGAGCTTTCCAAAGAAGGAAAACCCTTTCGCAAAAAATATCCCTTCAGAAGCTCTCAAACGCAACTTCTGTTGTTATCTCAAAGAAAAGCATTTTGCACGAATCAGCAACATTTCTTGGTGTATAAGTCCGATTGATCGACCAATCGAAAAATCAATTCATTGAAGGATTAGAATGTCAACACTCTTTTCATTTCTCTTTTTTTTTGGAAAAACCAAAAGAAACTTTATCCAATTCTTTTTCATTTCAGAATCTTTAACAATTGTCACTATCTTTTTTAGATTTTATATATATTATATTTATTATAGATCGCCATAATGGCCAAAGTGAATGCCATTGGAATCGACCTTGGAACAACGGATTCCTGTGTGGGAGTCTTTGTGAATGGCAAAATGGAGATAATAGCCAACGAGCAAGGCAACAAGATCACCCCGTCCTATGTGGCTTTCACCGACTCGGGACGGCTCACTGGGGAAGCGGCGAAGAATCAAGCGGCCGTCAATCCGCACAATACGATCTTCGGTTGGTTTTAAGCTTTTATTGGGTTGGTGGATATGAATTGGCACGTTTTCTGAAATGAAATTTTTCTTCAGTTAACAACTTCAAATCATGCGTGATACAGTGGTCCACCAAAGTAATGCCCCATTGCCATTCAAAAGTATTTTTGCAAAATTCCTTCTGAAAACATATATTTAAAATATATATTTTTTCCTTTTAAAATACTTTAGAAATTCTAGTTGTTAAAAAACTGGTTTTTTTGATTGAGATCCTTCCAATCCAAAGATCGATGTGGAAGAGTGCAATTACCCCTAAAATTAGCTCCACAAAAGTAATGCCCTATTTATCGTTTTCATGATTATTCTTTTTGTTTCTCCTTCTATGAACATTAAGTGTATTCTATTGTATTATTTAGATCCCTGACCTGAAAAATCTTGACACTCCGAAGAAGCTCCAAATCGCCAAGGCCCGGGAAAATGGGATACGGGAGAAGGATGTGGCCAACCTCTTCAATTGCTCGATATGGACAGTGCGCCGCATTTTTTCTCGATCAAAAGCCGGCAAAAACCTTCATCGAGGCCTGAAGAGTGGCCGACGACCAATCACAACCATAAAAGAAGATCGAGCCGTGATCCAAATGGTGAAAAACGATCCGAACAAAACATCAACCGATGGAAACCAAATGATGAGGGATCAATTAACAAGGTTGTATCGCCGGGAACGATCAGACGACGATTAAATCAAGCTGGATTATATGCAAGAAGGGCTGCCCGTAAACCTCCGATGAGTTCTAAGCACCGGAAGCAGCGGCTTGATATTGCACGGACCTACCGAAGTTGGACAATAAGTGATTGGGAGAAAGTGCTGTTTACCGTTGAGACAAAAATCAATTTATTTCACGCGGACGGAAACCATCTTATTCGGCGGCCGACTGGAAAGCGATACACACTCAAGTACATTCGGCCTACGGTGAAATTCAATGGAGGCAACATAATGTGTTGGGCTAAGAGCCTTTTTAGTAGTTTGTCACCTGACTGTTTTTCTTTAGGAGCAATGTCACGAACTTCAGTAGGTCCATTAGTTCACGTCAACTCAACGGTGAATGCTGTGGCTTAGTCTTTTGCGCCCAAAGTCTTTTGAAGAATCTCGTGGATTCCATGCCGAATCGACTCAATGAAGTAATAAAAGCAAAAGGAGGACCAACCAAGTATTGTTTTTAAAAAATTGTGTTAATTCTTTGCAAATGGGGCATTACTTTGGTGGACCACTGTATGACTTGTCCTAAAATTTTTTTAATTAAGAATGCAAAACAAAACGTCTAACATGTATTTTTCACCAATTTCCTTTTTCGATTGCTAATAGATTGGTTGGTATGCCTTGGCACGTTTTTTCAAATTAAATCCCAGAGACGTAAATAAACATGAGGGAGCGGAGTTTGTGGAAAATAGGGGACCTAGTTAGAACAGCGCGAACGAATCAGCGCGCCTTCATTACAGCACGAGTCATTTCAGCACCTCAGAAAAAAGACCCAAAGACGTTCATTTCAGCGCCGTGCAAAAAAAGGCTCGAAAATGTTCATTTCAGCGCAACTAGATTTTAATATTCTTGATTCTCGCCTTGTATTTGCATGTTTTTATGGTTTCGTTGATGTTTTTGCACTTTTTTTCATCTATTGGGGAGTGGGACAAATGCTACCTTTTTTTTGCGCACCCGGACATTTGCGCACCTTTTTTCCGCACTTAGCCCATTAGCGCACCTTTTTTCGCTTTTTAAAAAAGCTCTAAAAAGCTAATATTAACCAATTTCTATTCCAAATGTTGTTTTTCTAGGTAATTTGAGGGTGTCGAATTCAAATTTTGACATAACAGAGCGTGTGGAACTAATTTGAAAGACAAAACGGCTAGGTCAGATTACAGAAAAAAATACATTTTTCTATTAGAGTATCACATCGAAATGTTCTGCAAAGTTTGTGACGATAAAACTGTTGGAAGTTCAAGAAGTACACGAGAATCTTTTGATGCCTGCCGCTCAGAAGCAACTGTCCAACGGAAACAAAAAAATGGTACATTGGGAAAATCACCCATGGAGCATCTAAAATCCTTGTCTGCTTTTCAGTTTAAGTAATTGTTGTTGTCTTGGTGAATTTTATAGTTATTATTGCTGCAATACAAATAAACGTGTCAAAACTTTGAAAACATACAAAAAAAACACTAAAACCACGTGTATACAGAAAAGAATTGCATTGGCGCTGAAACGAACATCTTCAAGCCTTTTTGCGCGGCGCTGAAATGGACGGTGCTGATTTGTTGACGATGCTCTAACTAGGTCCCGAAAGTAGGTAAGTGAGCATTCACTCTTGCGAAGACAATGGACTTTCACTTTCGACATATTTGATTTTTGGAATTTGACTTTACTTTGTTCTAACTATTGAAAATCTACCACCTGGAGATTTGCGACACGTTATGTTGCACGAATTTCTACAAGGACACAAGGGCCTCCAGTGTTCAACTAAGATTGAGAATGTTTATGTGAAAGGATAAGCTCCACTACGGACATGTGTAAATTGGTTTGCTAAATTCCATTTTGGGGAAAAGAAGAGGGCAAAAATGGCTGACAGATTGGTTTGCGTCAAAACCGAAGATTTTATATATTAGGTTGTCGGATTATGAATTGCCATTGTCTTTTTTGCTTTGTATTTTTTTTCAAATAAAATTTTGTGGTATTTTTTTAACTATATTAAAGAGCGTTTTATGCCGCGTCGATTGATATATTATTCGTCTATATTTGCTTAGATTTTTAATATAAATTTGTCTTAGGAAATGAACGACATCAAAAATAAAATGCGGATTTGTTTGTTGTACGACTTCAAACAAAGAAAAACAGCGGCAGAATACCATCGCTCTATAAGCAATGCATTCGGAGAAGATGTTATCAACGAACGTCAATGTCGCAATTGGTTTCAGCGCTTTCGGGACGGTGACGAGAGCCTTGAAGACAAAGAACATGAGAGGCGACCAAAAACTGTGGACGATGAGGAACTTAAAGCAGCCATCGATTCTGATCCTGCCCAAACGACACGAGAACTTGCTGAGAGGTTCGGTTGTCATCATTCCACCATTGCTGACCACTTGCATGCCATTGGTAAGGTGAATAAATGCGGTAAATGGGTGCCTCATGAACTAAGCGATTTGAACAAAACAACGCGAATCAATATGGCCGGAATTCTTTTGCACCAAGCCAAGAACAGTGGTTTTTTTGAGTCGATTGTCACGTCTGATGAAAAGTGGATATCCTTTGATAATACCACTAGAAAACGAAAATGGTTGAACCCTGGACAAACCCCAAAACCGACTCCAAAACCAGACATCCATGGCAAAAAGGTGATACTATGTGTTTGGTGGAATAGCAAAGGATTGGTGAATTTTGAAGTGCTAAATTCTGGTCAAACGGTTAATGCGGACCCCTACAAAGAACAATTAAGCCGCGTCGATCAATCGCTTCGTCGACAGGGAGTGGAAACAGCGTCAACAAAATTGCTCCATGACAACGCGCGTCCACACACCGCAAAAGTAACTCTGAAAAAAATTGAAGAATTGGGCTGGGAACTTCTGCCTCACCCGCCATATAGCCCAGACCTTGCGCCATCTGATTACCATTTGTTCCGGTCGATGCAGCATTCCTTGGCCGAAAAAAAAATTCAAAAACGGCGATGAAGTCCAAATTTGGGTGGCCAATTTCTTTGAGTCACAGCCGGTCGAGCTCTTCAACAAGGGCATTCATTCTTTGCGTGGACGTTGGCGAGATGTCATAGATACCGATGGAGAATACCTTTTAGATTAAAATATTTTTGTATTGATTTTATAATAAAATTAGTTTTTGATAAAAACGGCAATTCATAATCCGACAACCTAATAGATAGGCATTCGACTTCTACCAGTAAAATTATACAAAATAATGACAAATACAGTGGTCCACAAAAGCAATGCCCCATTGCCATCCAACAGTATGTTTTGTAAGGAAACCTTGCAAAATCGACATTCCAGAAAAAGAGTAGGGTATTTTTATCTACCTATAAGACTCGACTTTTCAAGAATGTAAGATTTATCCGTATACATCACATACAAATTAAAGTACAAAACAAAAACAATAAGCTACTTGAAAATTAGCTCCACAAAAGTAATGCCCCATTTGCAAAGAATTAACACAATTTTTTTAAATCAATACTTGGTTGGTCCTCCTTTTGCTTTTATTACTTCTTTGAGTCGATTCGGCATTGAATCCACGAGATTCTTCAAAAGACTTTGGGGGATGATGGCCCAGAGACGTTGAATTGAATGTGAACCCATAAGGCAGCTGTCGAATCGAATTTATTTCCCTTGAGTCGTGACTTCACAAATGACCAGAGATGCTCGATAACATCGATATCCAGTGAGTAGGGAGGCGAATTGATCAATTTGACTCGACTTGCCGCAAACCAGCCCGGAAGTCGTGCTCGTGTACCATTTTTAAGAGTCACCACCGTTCCCATCATGAGCCTTTACTTGTGTTTCGGGTCGTTGTCCTGGTAAAGCATCCATCCAGGAGGCATCGTCTGTGTGGCAAAAGGCAGCATTGGGGCCTCCATAATGTTCTTGTAAGCCACAGCATTCACCGTTGAGTTGACGTGAACTAATGGACCTACTGAAGTTCGTGACATTGCTCCTAAAGAAAAACAGTCAGGTGACAAACTACTAAAAAGGCTCTTAGCCCAACACATTATGTTGCCTCCATTGAATTTCACCGTAGGCCGAATGTACTTGAGTGTGTATCGCTTTCCAGTCGGCCGCCGAATAAGATGGTTTCCGTCCGCGTGAAATAAATTGATTTTTGTCTCAACGGTAAATAGCACTTTCTCCCAATCACTTATTGTCCAACTTCGGTAGGTCCGTGCAATATCAAGCCGCTGCTTCCGGTGCTTAGAACTCATCAGAGGTTTACGGGCAGCCCTTCTTGCATATAATCCAGCTTGATTTAATCGTCGTCTGATCGTTTCCGGCGATACAACCTTGTTAATTGATCCCTCATCATTTGGTTTCCATCGGTTGATGTTTTGTTCGGACCGTTTTTCACCATTTGGATCACGGCTCGATCTTCTTTTATGGTTGTGATTGGTCATCGGTCACCCTTGAGGCCTCGATGAAGGTTTTTGCCGACTTGTGATCGAGAAAAAATGCGGCACACTGTCCATATCGAGCAATTGAAGAGGTTGGCCACATCCTTCTCCCGCATCCCATTTTCCTGGGCCTTGGCGATTTGGAGCTTCTTCGGAGTGTCAAGATTTTTCAGGTCAGGGATCTAAATAATACAATAGAATACACTTAATATTCATAGAAGGAGAAACAAAAAGAATAATAATGAAAACGATAAATAGGGCATTACTTTTGTGGAGCTAATTTTAGGGGTAATTGGACTCTTCCACATCGATCTTTGGATTGGAAGAATCTCACTCAAAAAAAACCAGTTTTTTAACAACTAGAATTTCTAAAGTATTTTAAAAGGAAAAAATATATATTTTAAATATATGTTTTCAGAAGGAATTTTGCAAAAATACTTTTGAATGGCAATGGGGCATTACTTTTGTGGACCACTGTATGTCGCTTTGTTGGGAATTTCTCCTCTAAAAAATGCAAAAAAAATAGGATTTTAAAATATTTATTTTTTCGCGAAAATCGAGCATTAGTTCTAGGTAGGGCACCGGTTTGCTGGTCATTTTCAAGATTCTCCCAATCTTGAAGCCTCTGTTACTGAACCAAATGAACTAAAAGATTTTTGCACCATTAAATAAGGGAATTTTCTGTCGAATAAAATAACTGCAGGTCAAGCGGAACATCCTAGACACAAAAGTTCTAAATCAAACTGCATATTATTAATATGTTATTCTCCAGGTGCCAAGCGCTTAATTGGCCGCAAATTCGATGATCCAGCCGTTCGATCGGACACGAAACACTGGCCATTCAAAGTTGTCGCAGCTGATACGAGAAAACCGCAAATCGAAGTCATGTACAAGGGAAATAAGAAAATCTTCACGCCAGAGGAGATTTCTGCGATGATCCTTACCAAAATGAAAGTAATGGATTCATGAGATTTGAAAAAATTTATACTGATTAGATGACAGCCGAAGCGTTCATTGGCTCGTCAGTCGAGGATGCCGTCATCACCGTGCCCGCTTACTTCAATGACTCTCAACGTCAAGCTACAAAAGATGCTGCAGCAATTGCTGGCTTAAACGCGTTGCGACTCATCAACGAGCCGACGGCTGCCGCAATCGCCTATGGATTGGACAAGAAATTCGATAGTGAACGCAATGTGCTCGTCTTCGACCTTGGCGGTGGATCGTTCGACGTGTCGATTCTGACGATTGAAGACGGGATTTTCGAAGTCAAATCCGTTGCCGGTGACACGCATCTTGGAGGCGAGGTTCGTTTGAACAACTTTTATTTGAGGAAATTCTAATTGTAATCGTGCTTTGAATATTTATAAAACAAAAACTGAATAGGGGTTATCAAGCATTAGTACTCAATCTAATAAATACAGCAGCGAACATGATTTTGGAAACTTTTGTTTTTCCCAAAAAATTTTCTTAGTAAAAACTCATTCGGTATGTTTACTAGCGAAAATATGTAGGCATAAAAATCACTTAATAATCCATAGACAAAATATTGCATTCGGAACTTTTTGAAAACTATGATTTTTAATGCATTTATTTATAAACCCAGAGGACATAAATTTGGAAACTTTCAAAAGCAACTCTAAATAATGATGTAACAAACCATTAGACTTCTAAATTACAATAAAAACAAAGAAATCAATTCAATACTTTGTGGAAAATCTTTTAGAATCAATGACAGCCTGGCAGCAAGCGCCCATCGAGGCTGGGTTTATAGATAAATGCATTAAAAATAATAGTTTTCAAAAAGCTCAGAAGTTCTGTCTATGGATTATTAAGTGGTTCGGCTGATTCATCGATGATTTCAGGATGTCGACAATCGAATGGTCGATCATTTCATTGCCGAGTTCAAACGCAAACACAAGAGAGATCTGTCAACAAATGCCAAAGCTGTTCTTCGTCTGCGATTGGCTTGTGAACGTGCCAAGCGGACACTCTCTTCATCTTCTCAGGTTCTCGGTGGCATTTGAATAAAATTCTACTTGCTTGTTTAGGCTCAGATCGAGATCGACTCGCTCTTTGATGGAATCGATTTTTACACCAGTATCACACGAGCTCGCTTTGAGGAACTTTGTGCCGATCTCTTCCGCTCAACAATGGATCCAGTCGAAAAAGTATAGTTTATTGTTTAATCTGTAAATCTCAATGTTTTACGTGTAGGCTCTTCGTGATGCTAAAATGGACAAATCTTCTATTCATGAAATTGTGCTTGTTGGAGGATCGAGTCGAATTCCTAAAGTACAAGAAATGCTTTCGGACTTTTTTTCGGGCAAAGAACTCAACAAGTCGATCAATCCGGAAGAGGCGGTTGCTTATGGTGCGGCCATTCAAGTAGGACTTTCAACGTGTCTATTCTCGTATTACTTTGGAAATCTACTCAAATCGATTTACAGGCAGCTATCCTATCCGAGGATAAATCTGAAGCCATTCGAGAATTGCTTCTTTTGGATGTGAACCCACTCACCCTTGGAATCGAGACTGCTGGTAGCCTTGAGGGAAAAAAAATGACAGTTGCACGCTTCGCTAATACTTTCGACAAAAAGGAGATCAAAACGATTTCTGACGGAACCGAGTCTATCATTGGGGTGATGACAGCGTTGATGAAAAGAAACACGACCATTCCAACGAAAACGTCCGAAATCTTCACGACAGAAGTCGACAATCAGCGGGAAGTGCTCATTCAAGTAAATCAATAATTTGATCGGTGTAGACGTGATTGTCTGTATCTTAGGTTTACGAGGGCGAGCGTGCGATGGCCAAGGACAATTATCTACTGGGGAAATTCAAGCTTTCCGGAATGCCTTCAGTTCTTCGTGGAATACCAAAGATTGAGGTCACATTCGACCTCGACCCCAATGGAATCCTCAACGTGTCTGCAACAGACCAGGCGACTGGCAAGGCTAATAAAATCACGATCACTAATGATAATGGCCGGCTTTCCAAGGTAGATCCGGGACTCTCGTAATAATCTGATGCATTTTACAGGAAGACATTGAGCGTATGATAAAAGAAGCTGAACAATTCAATGCCGACGATGCTCTGCAAAGGGAACGAAACGAGGCAAAGAATGCTTTCGAGTCATTTGCTTTCAGCTTGATGGAAGCACTCGAAGATGGTAGGACAATCGAGGAACAGTGCACTGAGACTATTCATTGGCTCGAGACAAATCAAACTGCTAAGAAGGTGAACTCAAATTTCGTTTATAATGCTTGTTTATTTAGGAGGAGTTCGAGCGTCGACGAAGAGAATTAGCGGCAATCTGTGATTCGTTCATAAAGAAGATTAATGAGGCATCAAAAATTGCTTCCGATTACTGATTTGTCAATTTGTTTAATCTATTTCTTAGAGTTTTCAGTAAATATCCATTTTCCAATTTGTTCCAGCATCCCCCACCGACAAGTTTCGTTTGCTTGTTAATCGTTTCAAGCAAAATTGAATTTCTTCAAATTTCAAAGGTTGTAGGTGACTTTAAATTCCAAGAAATCAATTTTTGTGAAAATACAAATTTTTCAAAAACCGAAAGCGCCGAAGCGGGCGGAGTCAAACCCGGGTCGTGTCGGCTAGAGACAAGTGCGCTCGCATTGCGCCATCCACAAAAGAACCTGACCGAGTGGTTAACGCGCGCGTCTTTCAAACGGAAGGAACAGAGGTCGCAGGTTCACCTCCGCTTGCCTTTTTGCCTTTTGCTTTTTGCTACAAAATTTTTTTTGTAGCAGCGAAGCTTCTGGTACTTTTAATAGTTTAGAATACAAAAATTTTTGTGAAAGATTCTTTTCCATAGAAAGAAAGCTTTGAAAAAAGTTGTAAAGACTTATGCACCAATCTAATAGTTCCAACAACTATCTCAACATACTTAAGAAAGATTTTCTTCCGTGAACCAAAAATCACTTTGGTAACAGGACTTGGTGTTTTATGCAGGATGATGCTTATGCTCACAAGGCTCGAGTGGTTTAGGACTGGCGCAAGAAGCATTTTCCCAACTTGGCCACCTTTAGTTGCCGCCCTCAAAAATAAAATCTTAATGAAATTCTTGATTTTTGGCCTCTTCGACTAAAAAAGTTACGTAAAATCAGCATTCGCGGTTGCTCGGAGGAAAGTTGCGGTTGCTCGACGGGTTTAGACGATATCACGCATTTCATCTTTTCGATCATTCAAGTTTTGTTCAAAGCGTGCTAACAAGAAAATTGCTTAAAAATTTGGAAAACATTTGAATTCTATGTAGAAATTATCTAGAATTAAAGAATGAAACTCTTTCAGAAAATTGAAACGATGCAAGACAGTGCAAGTGATCGAATGACGTTTCTTAAAGGGAATTTTTCTGAAGCGAATCTCATTGAAACGGGTGAATTTGTGATATTTTAGTTTACGAATAAATTTTCTTTTCATTGGAATTCAATTTTTCGCAATTCAATCCCTATTCTTCATCCTCATCATCAAGTCTTCGAGATTGCGATTGCAAGAGTTGTTGCTCAAGTTCGGTGGGAGAAATTCCCTGAAAGTTGTGTCGTTTTTAGATCAGTTACAGATCAGATTCATTTCTTGTCTTACTGTAGATATTTAGAACTTAATAACGGCAAACTAGCTACCATTTAGAATCGAAATTTGTCTACTTTTTTTGTCACAATATGCTGGTAAAATATAATACCCTAAATTGACTTAGATCTTGGCTTTACAGTACTTGAACGAATTGTGAAATCAATGATTATTCCACGAAAGACTTACTTTTTTAAATTGAATATAGTATAAATTGTTGTCCTCGGCAAACGTGGCTCCCTCGATTGGCGAGACACCGGACGAGGAACTCAAAGTGTCATGATGAGTTCCAATCAAAAAACCTAGAATTGATGTTTAAACAACTTACTTATTGAGGATTTTAGTCAAAAAAAAACTCTGAGATTTCTTTCTCAGGTTATATATTTTATATAACAGTTTAATGTAATTTTGATTTACTACCCCAAACTTGGATTTACTATTCGACAGATTAGTTTAAAAGTCCTTAGAGGTACTCAGCAGGTAATACAGGATAGCCCATAATGTGTGTACCTTATATGAAGGCAGATTAAGTTGAAAATGTTTAAGATTACTTAAACCTTGTTATTGCTACATTTTTATAACATTTTTACATTTATATTCTAAGTTTTAGCTCGATCAGTAAGAAAAATTAGGGCCATTAGAAGCTCCTTAGAAGCCTAAATTGCGCTAAAAATTGGAATATACGTGGAAAAATGTTATAAAAATGAAATTATAATAAACTTCTAAGTAATCTGACATATTTTAGGCTTAATCTGCCTTCATGTAAGGCGTAGGGCATATTATGGACCACCCTGTAAGTACTAATAGTTCAATGTTACAATTTGCTATGTAAAAAGAAATTTTTCTTCAAGAGATCAGTTAAATTTTGAAAACTGAAGCTAAAAGAAAGAGTAGACAATGACTGAGACACAGAAGTGACTCTTTTTCCACAAATCCATGTAAGTGTTTCGATGGCTTGAGGCTCCCACTTTCCCCAACAATCCTTTCACATTTTTTTGGTCGAACTATCCAAGGACGACCTTCTTTCTCCTTTTTTTGCAAGTGAGAACGGACGAGTGAAAATGTATGGGCAAAGGGCGCGAAATCTTTCTCTCAGTAAGGGAGAGAGTAGAAAAAGAAATGAGACCAGGATTTTCGAGGCGACAAAAAAGGGGCACATTGGGTCGATTCGCGTTTTTTTTGCCCTCAATACTCTCTTTTACTGTCTCATGCTGTTGAAAGTTTTGTTTACACGATAAATGACCAACCTTTGGAGCTCTTTGGAGCTCTATTGGACCAAAATCATGATTTCAGCTTGTTTAGTTCACTATCAGATCTGACCAGACTAATGATGAAGGCCAGATGAATAAGGGAAGATCAACTCGATGTGCTGGCCAAATCACATGAGCTATAGACCATTAGACGCAGAATTTCACGCTGATTCCGAATCTGCTTTCTTTTTTGGCTACGGAACACTCTGTCAAAAGTGATATGCGTTTAAAGTTTTGTAAGAAGTTTCGTTAAGAAGAAAAAAATCAAATCGCAACATTAGAACCCTGTCTTCTGCGGGCGAAGCAGTTGCAACGGTGACCGAATGGTAGTGAGTTAGAACGCAAGCCAAAGAGTCTCTGGTTGGAGTCCGGTAGCTGGCTTTCTTTTTTCTTTTTTATGGTTTTTTATAGTCAACCGAGCAGTCCTGGTTGTTATTTCTTTGATTCATTTGATTGATTTCTTTGATTCAAAGTTATCGTAAGCTTTCTAGGTACTTGAAACTTTGATGTATTTCCAAGCATTTACAGGTTCTTTAGATCCCAAACTCTTGAAGATTTTTCAAAAATCCGCCTCACAAAAGCCGGAGGCTTTCCGGACTTTCACCTCTTTTTTCCGAATCCATGTCACTTTCACCCTATTTGGTGGTGGAGGGGATAAAACAGGTGAACGGGGGTAGGAATGGAAAAGAGAAAGGGAAAAGGGGGATCCAAGTGAGCACAGTCTTTTCGGTCAGCATCCCAGACCCTTCACTGTCCTTTCTTTGAAGCCGGAGCAAAGGGAAATTCTTTCTCTGTTTAATTTGAAATCCAGATACGCTCCATGAAAAATGAGAAAGTTGTGAAACTTTGTCTTCAGACGCTTTAAAAGGCTCCTTTCTAGCCGAGAAAAGGTAGGTTTTTGGCTTAGTGGATTGCGCGTTATTCTTCTACCCAAGGGTTCAATCCCTGATGCACCAGTTTGTTTTTGTTCTTCTTCTAAAGTAGCTTTTAGCATTTTACAGCTAATTGCATTAGGAAAGTAGGAACTGTTGATTAAAGTTCAATTTTATACATAAAGGCAAATGACAAAGGAAAGTCATTTGGCAGATTTTGATTTTAGATTCGGATTTCTCATACCCGATTCTATAAAGTGCACTAGGTGTCCAGACTAGTTTACCGTTCGTTTTTCCCTAGTTAGCTTGGTTCTGGTTTAGTACCGGGCCAGAAATCAGACTCAAAACCGGATCCTGGATTTGGCCTGATAAAGCATGGACCTTTCTCTGAGTTGATTTGGTCGGACTTTGACTTAAACTCTAAATTTGTCAGATAAACTGTCAGATGTCAGATAGCCATCAAATAAACTACACAGTTCAGGCAAAAATCAGCCAAACTCTGGCCCTGATCTGGTTTGGCTCAGGTCTAGCCTGGTCCTCTGGTCTAAGCCAATAAGAAGCCAAAACCCTTGTCAAAAATCAGCCAAACTCTGGCCCTGATCTGGTTTGGCTCAGGTCTAGCCTGGTCCTCTGGTCTAAGCCAATAAGAAGCCAAAACCCTTGTCCTTTCCTGGTCTAATTTCAAGTCTACTTTTCATTTCTAACACCAGTCCTAACAATGCACAAAATTTTAATGGAAATGGGGATTTCAACTGTTCACCCCATCGAATCCCTTCTCTATACAGGGGAGCCACTTTCGATTTTTTTTCTTTTCACTCCCCCCACTCTCCCCTTTTCCCCTTCAAATCTCTATTCCTTTTCAATCTTCGATTTCACCCATTCTCGCGCGCACCCCTCCCCTCCATCCGATCGTCCTTTTCATCCCTTTTTCTGTTTTTGCCTTGCCTTTCCCCACTTACAACCCTTCGAAAGTTGAAGTTCCGGTCATTTAAAACACGATTAAACATTAATTTTTGCATTTGTTTTGATTCAATAAACACTTAAATCTTTAGAACAATTGTCTTAATGATTCTAATCCATCCAGTCTAGAATGCTTGTCATTTTCTGGTTAATTTCTGGTTATTTAAAGGATTTAAAAGAAGATTTGCAGTGTTAAGCTTGTACTTTTACACGAAAATTCAACTTTTGGGAATAAGAATCTGAGCATCTACAGTATTTTGTTTTATTTGGTAAGTGATAACTGTTCACCTTTCATTTGTTCCCTATTTTTTCAATTTTCAGTCATTTTCCCATGATTTTCATATATTTTTCTTGATTTTATATTTGTATTATTGTATTGGGTTGGTGAATTGAAAACTGCGGCCTATTGTCATATGTGACAATTTGAGCACTTTCTTCAAAAGAAACCCATTTTGGTGTCAATGGAAAAGTTGTAGAGAATCAAAAATCAAGCTTATATCCAAATTTTCAGAACGATTCAAAAACTGGTTTTCAAGAAATGCCAAATTTACGAATTTTCACAAAACTTGCATTTTAAGCGAAACTACGAAGTGTATCTTTTTGGAAATTTGGCTATAAGCCTAATTTTTAATTCTCTACAACTTTTCCATTGACACCAAAATGGGTTTCTTTTGAAGAAAGTGCTCAAACTGAGACAGCGGACATCTCCAGTCCTCCATTTTTGAGTCTCACACTTGTCTCACACACAAACCAAAATCCTACGACGAAAGAGGAATCCGCAAATTGCCTGTAAAATGGGCAGAAGTCGTCAATAATAATGGAAATTATTTGGAATGAATTGATGGTTTTATGTTGAATAAATTTTAGTTCAAAGTCCGGCAGTTTTCAATTCACCAACCCAATATATTCTAAAATTTCGATTTCCCACCGACATTATCTCCTCGTATTTTGTGCGTTTTTTGGATAAAATCCTCTTCGATTTCTCGTAGAGCGCCCGGGCGATTCGCATCAAAAACATAGCAAAATGTCACATCGTTTGAGAAAAGGGGAACTAGAAAAAATATTTTTAATGTTTTTTACACCAAATTTTTCTTTTCCACAATGCTTAGACGTTATTTTGGTTGTAGAACAAGTGATTCATCACAATTTTTTGAAAGACTGACAGAATTGAGAAGTTTTGCAAGTGCATTTTTACAAAATTTCAGATCTACCGCTTTTTATCTAATCTTTACGAGAAATTGACGAGATTTCATTTTCTCAATTTTCTTCCTTTCTTTCTTCTTCCTTTCTTTCTTCTTCCTTTCTTTCTTCTTCCTTATCTTTCTTCTTCCTTATCATTTTTTGATCTTCTTAGGCAAGCTTCTTAGGCAAACGATAGCTCAGTAGTAGAGCATCTGCACGGTAAGCAGAAGGTCGAGGGTTCAATTCCCTCTCGGTTCCAAATCCGATTCCAAATCAAATTCCATTCATTTCTTCACTTTATTACCATTTAAATAACTCATCGTCTCAATCCCGGGCGTATCTACAATAATAATCGTCGAGTAGTCCTCTTTCCCGACTCGAACCCGCTTCGAGAAGACTTTTGGTTCAAAGGTCTAAAACTTTAAGTATTAGATGATTCTTTTACTTTGGAAACGGTATTGATTGTTTAATACTTTTGTTCTAGAATTTTATTTGCATTTTGGTCCGCTCTGTCATTGACTTGAATCCTTGACTTGACTTGAATCTGGCTCATGGGTTTAGCCATGGAAAATTCATGGGACATGGGAAAATTCCAAGCCGAGCCTAATTCCACCTTCGTTTTCTCAGCCGTCTTTTTGCCGATCGCTCTGAAATTTTGTTTACAAGCAGAGAATTTCAATTTCTATTTGTAAACAAAATTTCAGAGGAATCGGCAAAAAGACGGCTGAGAACACGAAGGTGGAATTAGATTCGGATTGGAATTTTCCCATTTCTACTAGTGATATTCCTTTAAGTGACACAGCTTGTTAGGTTTTTAAGAATGCTTAACTGCTTAACTGCTTAACTTCTCAAATTTCATTATAAGAAATGTTTACAATCAAAACCGAAATGCAGGATTGTTTCAAAAACATTTTTCCAGGCAATTTTTTGGCTTTGCTTGGCCTGGTACAGGTTGAGGTCTGGTACAAGTTTAGGATCCGGTTCTTGAATGTATTCTGCCTGATTGTGCCTTCATTGCATAGCAAACAACTAGCAATTGCATATAGGCATATCAATTTAATGCAAATTTTAAAACCCTACCATTGAGTAATCCTTTTGCACAAGTTGCCCTAAAAGAGTCGAAACAACGGTCGTTTTCCCGGCACCCATCGGACCTTTGAAAATCGTAAACAACAATTTACGAAATCCTTACCAATAAACAAAAACGGATTCGGTGTAAGGAATTTGATCTGCATTTAGTTTAAAAAATGGAATGCTAGTAATTTTTTGGAATTTATGCCAATTCTTTCTGCGTTTTTATTTTGTTTTATCGATGTTGCCTAGCAACAAAATTCATAGTTTGTAGAGGGAAAGAGGAAAAAGATTCCCCGGAAATTTGAAACAATTTTGAAACAAACAAACAATGAGAATTATTGGGTAACTTTTTCAAGTCATTTTTAAATGTCTAGGTTTTAAATGACGATTGAAACCGATCATTTTTCTCTTCTTCTTATCGAATCCCTCTTTCGACTAAAAAAATACGAGAATTGATTTAACTTCTAAGTTTAATTGACTAGCTTTATCAATTTTTTTTCTGTGCAATTTTGTCGACTATTTGAATAGTTTAAAGCTTTCAAATGATGAAATAGAATTTGATTGGATCATAGTAATAAGTAAATTAAGCGACAGGACGCTTAAGACAGATCGCATCATGCTCAGGCTTAGGCTTAGGCTTTGGCTTTGCTGAGGCTTAGGCTTAAACTTAGGCTTTGGATTTGGCTTTGCTCAGGCTCAGGCTTAGGCTTAGGGCTTAGGCTTAGGCTTTTGTGGAAAAAGATAGCCAAATTTGAAGAGGGACGGCACTTTATGGCCGGTTTTCGATGAAAATGGCTATAATATGGCATATAGGCTAAAGTTAAAAGGTCGAACTAAGCCTAGAAATCATAAAAAAGATCCGACTGAAGTCCATTTATTGGTGATGATGGTATTGATTAGGTTGGGGAGAGGGTCTTAAACTTGTCCGATCTGGACGTGCAAAAGCTCATTCGAAAGCTAATTTTCTAGTGGATTGGATTGGAGTGGAAGAAAACCGTTTTTTAATATATCAATTTTCAAAGTTTTTGCAGCCGTTTTACTGAGGGGTGTCAGATCTCAAATTTAGCGACACCATCTCTGAAATTTTTATATAGGCCTTTAGAAGTAAAAAGAAAAAGAGATTGAAAGGTAAAACATCAAAATAAAAGTAAGACAAAAGTTTTTGACGTAAAAGGAATTGAAATGAAGTAAAAAGATGCATAGCTTGTTTTTGACATAAGCCTCATATCCACTACACCACTAGGCCATCTTTTAGAGAAGTGTGCGCGCATCAAATAAGAAGTTTCATCAAAAATCATACGAAAAACTTTTTTTCCGTTACAGAGTAGTTGCGGAAGAATTAGAAACTCATCAGAACCAGCCTGAGCCTCAGCATGATCCGATCTGTCTTATTATATGATCTCAAAAATTTGAGCATAATGACGCCTAGAAAGAAAAGTTGGTTGAGTCCTACTTATAGGAGTCCCAAACGGGAAGCCCTTAGGTTAGAGCGATTTGCCAGAAGGCGAGCGATTACGCCGCTGCACTAAAGAACACCTAAAGATTTTGTTTTCTCCTGTTCATGGTACTCGGCGAAGATACTGAGCTCTGAACTGAGCTAAGAATTTGTACGGGGGTTTTCATGGTCGAGGAATCGACTGGCAATATTTATTTCAACTAATCTTCCACGATGATTTGTGTAAGAGATATTATAGAGTTTATAGTAGATTTCTTTCTTCCAATTTATTCCAATTTCATTTTTCTTTGAATATTCTTTCCAAATCACCCTAACTGACCAATGTTTTTTTTTTTGTTGACCTTCGATCATATCCGTTTATTCTCCAAAAAAAAGAACAATAAAGTGTCGACTCAGAGAGAAACAAAAGAACAAAAGAGATAAGAAAGGTGAATCAAAATGTGAAAAATTTAGACTGATTTCGAAAAGCGAAAATCTCACACAAATTTGGGGTTTCTTTGTTTGATTTTTCTTCTTTTTGAGTTGTAAAAGAAAAGATTTGATGGGGAAATCACATGAAATCTTTTGAATCTTTTGAATCTTTCGAATCACATGAATTTTTGCATTATTGATCTATTTGTTATCGAGATTTTCAAAGATTTTCCAAGAAAACGATTTCGGTTCAATTTCATTGTTCTCTTTTATTTTTCGATTTATCCTCGTTAGTTAAACGCTTAAAAGCTTTATTTACAGCTCGAAGACTTGAAAGAAAACAGCGGGGATCAGCAAACGATCATGTAAGTCAATTTCACTTGCATTTTCTTTTTCTTTAACAAGGAAATCCATAAAATTCTTGAAAACTGACTAATCCATCACCACAAAACACTTGCAATGTGTCATTGCCATTCCTCATTTTTCTCATCTTTCCTTGAAATTTTCTCACTTTCATATAGGAACAGCTGTTAGGGTAATTTTCTAATTAATCTTACAAGTTTTTAAAGCTGATAAATATTCAAATAGTAAGATATAAGGCTTTACTCTAGAGACAATGGGGAAACGTATCGATTTAACTCATTGGTAGATCATAGCTCACTGGTAGATCATAGCTCATTGCTAGATCGTAGCTCATTGGTAGATCGTAGCTCATTGCTAGATCGTAACTCATTGGTAGATCGTAGCTCATTGCTAGATCGTAGCTAATTGCTAGATCGTAGCTCATTGCTAGATCGTAGCTCATTGGTAGATCGTTCGGCCGATAATTCGGGTTCGAATCCCGGTGACGATTATGTTTTGTCTTCAAAGCCCCACCTAAACTTTGTTATTACAAGATCTAGAGAATAAAATGTCAAAACAATTGTTACTTTATAAAAAAGTCATAACAATTGCTAGTTTCCCTTGAAAATTCCCCAAAACCCAGACGATTTCTCTTCGATATCCCACGAAACAGTGGTTTTGCGGTCCATGTGTTGTAATTCGATCCGAGTTCGTCCTTTCCTTTTTCTCCTTTCTCTATCTTGGAGGCACTGTTGCTGATTACAAAACCAAAAACTCCATAGACACAAAAGAAAAGACCAAAAGCTTCCCCAAAAACTTTGGGGATTTTTCCTCTGGGATCATCGTGGATCGGATTACTTTGGGCACATGCAAAGTCATTTTTCGCTTTTTAAGCTGGTAGCTTGCTGGAATTTCACAAGTTTTGTTGTTGCTTTTCGAAAATTTCATGATTCTATGAAATAAGTTTAAGAAAAAGTACAAAAACCAAGAAAAAAAAGGCCAAGAAGGGTAGCAAGGTTTCACCGAAGTTTAAGTACAGTTTAAAGTAGCCTAAGTGATCTTCTGAATTTATCTGAATCTTCTGAATAATCCGAATTCTGAATCTAAATAATCTAAATAATCTAAATATCAATTCTGAAAGGTTTTTTATTAAAGTAAAAATCGAAAAAGAGTCATCTCCGCCAATCACTTGTCTTCCAAACAAAAAGCAAGATTGAAAAAGAGAAGAACACCAAGAATTGGACTCTTTGAGTGGCAGACGACATGAAAATGAGTGACATGACAATGTTCATTTCAAAAAAATGACTACCAATTGGTTGTTCGGTTGATTTGTGAAGAAAGTTTGATAATTTCTCAATTCAAAGTTTGGAGATCTGATTTTTATCCTCTCAGTTCAATTTAGATATTTGATTCTTATGATCTCATTATCATTTCAAGTTTGATAATCTTAAATTACTCAATTCCTGAACACAAATTGCCAAATTAAGCAAAATTATAGCAAAATTATAGCAAAATTTTGAAACACTCAACAACTATTGCTCTTTTTCGTTCATTTCCTTAGACAACACTGTACCATATGGAGCTTGAGCTTTTTCAGCAAAATCTAGCAAAAGCTTTCTTCAAAAAAGATGACAATTTTAGTCTTTGTTCAAAAAATATATGACAATTCGCTATTTTAGCACTTTTTTTTCTCAATTTCTCAATTGTCCTGGAAACTGAGCTCAAATTTTCTAAAAAACGATTATAAGCTGGTTGTTTTTGTTACAACTTGTTCAAAAATAAATAGATTTTGATATTTTAAAGCTCTAGAGTTTTTTTCATTTTATTCCACTTCTTTGCTCTTCCAACTTCTTGATATTGAGTCCAATAAAGGATTCAAAGCAATTCAAAGCAATAAGCAAGACTATTGATTAAAGTTACTTTACAACTACTTATTAATGAGGTTATACCTTTGCTCTACTTACCAAAGTCATTCTATTGGGTTGGTGAATTGAAAACTGCCGGCTATTGTCATATGTCACAGTTTGAGCACTTTCTTCAAAAGAAACCCATTTTGGTGTCAATGAAAAAGTTGTAGAGAATCAAAAATCAAGCTTGTATCCAAATTTTCAGAACGATTCAAAAACTGGCTTTCAAGAAATGCCAAATTTACACAACAGAAATGCCAAATTGTCACAAAACTTGCATTTTAAGCGAAACTACTAAGTGTATCTTTTTGGAAATTTGGCTATAAGTCCAATTTTTGGTTCTCTACAACTTTTCCATTGACACCAAAATGGGTTTCTTTTGAAGAAAGTGCTCAAACTGGGACATCTCCAGTCCTCCATCTCCAGTCCTTTTTGAGTCTCACACACAAACCAAAATCCTACTACGAAAGAGGAATCCGCAAATTGCCTGTAAAATGGGCAGAAGTCGTCAATAATAATGGAAATTATTTGGAATGAATTTATGGTTTTATGTTGAATAAATTTTAGTTCAAAATCCGGCAGTTTTCAATTCACCAACCTAATAGATAAATTTTGATATTTTTAAAGCTCTAGAGTTTTTTTAATTTTCTTCCACTTCTTTGCTCTTCCAACTTCTTGACATTGAGTCCAATAGAGGATTCCAAGCAATATAAAAGGGGAGTGCTTTCACGAGAAAAAGAGAGACCACCTGCCAGCAAATTTTGCACTTCAACTTGTCAGAAAGGCATCCAGCCGATAAAGAATATGGAAGAATTTCAGAGTATTCTTTCAATTTTTCTATTAATTTTTAGAATTTCTTTTTTTATACTACTTTTTGTAGATGTAGCTTTCATGAGTTTCTTATCTATTTGGAGAAAGTTTTCACTTACATTTTCGATCGATTCTCTATCCATTTCGCT